ACCCACCCATCCACCCACCTATCCATCCATCCATCCATCCATCCACCACCCACCCACCTACACATCCACCCATCCATCCCAGAATCTGGCTCTTGCCTCTTCCTTCCCCTAATCCTCTGTTGGTGTGAAACCCTATCACAACCACTTGTTCAGGCCAGGTACAATGGCACACTCATGTAATCCTAGCTACTCAGGAGGCTGAAGCAGGAGGATTATAAGCCTAAAGCCAGCCTGGGGAACTTAGAGATTTCATGTCTGGAAATTAAAAAGAAAAAAAAAGGGCTTGAGATATAGCTCAGTGAGAGAGCCTCTCTGAGTTTAATGCCCAGTACTGGAAACAATTTTTTTTTTGTCTAGAAGGAGTCTGCCGCCTTTTCTCCTCCCTTCTCCTTTCAAAAGTGTTTATGTGTTTGTGTGTTGTGTGCACATTTGTGTGCAAACTCTCCCCCACCCTCCCACCCACTAAAACTGGCTGCCTCAGCCCCAGCTCCCTGCCCAGCCCAGCAGGTTCTCTGGGCCATTTCTCTTCCTCTCTTCTACCAGCACTTTTTCTTCAGGTGGAGATTTGCTATGAGCTTAGGCTAGTCCAGAGCTCACCATGTAGCCTGAGATCACGCGAGCCTCCCGCCTCAGCCTCCCAAGAGCTGGGATTATGGGTGGGCACCACCATAGCCAGATCTAGCTGTCCTCCCTGGCCTCCTGTGCACCCTGCCTGGGTTGTGATCATCAGAGCCCCTAACCAAAGCCCTCCTGAGGCCCCGCTGCTGGTGAGAAGAAGCTCCCTTTGCTGGGTCTGGCACCCACCTCTCCCCCTCAGGCTCCTGTCCTGACCTCTCTCAGCTCTGCTGCAGTGTGGGGCAGATCCAAGGCTACTGGTGCTCGTGTTGCCCACAGTGTTTGGCACATACCCAGTGTCCACAGGGTGGGGGGGGGCTGGGAAGGGCTCAGCTCCTGAGGCCACCTTCAGGGTGACTTGGGGGGCTTGGCCTGTGTCCCAGTGATAGCCTCTCTAGAGCCTGCAGGAGCAGAGGTTGGGCCTGTGTAGTTTAGGCTAGTCCAAGAACTGTGGCCCACCCGAGTTCTTGATGTCTGGGCCTCGCCATGACCTTGGCCTGACCTTCATGAAGGACCGTGACCTCCCTATCCTTCCCAAGAGAGGCTTCAACCAGAGGGCTCTAGAAGACCCAGACCTAGAGCAGAACCCCATACCTGGCCTTTTTGCCTCCCCACCACGCTCTCACCCCAGTGTCCCCAAAGGGGCAGGTGAACTGTGACACTCAGACTTAAGCTGGCCACAGGGTCAGGAGCGGGGGACTTTCACTAAGGTGCCTGCTGGAGGCTTGGCTCTGCTCCATGCTGGCTGTGTGACTCCTGGTGAGACACTGAACCTCTCTGTGCTGTAAGGATTAAGTGAGTCACCATAGCAAAGCCTCAGTTGTTGGCTTTGGTTGGGCTCAGGAGCGAGGGGAGGTGGTCAGGGCTTCCTGTGGTCCCCAGGCCTGGCTTCCTTCCCATGGGGCTCTTCCTGCAGGCTCAGCCATTGCCTACTCCGCGTACACCTTCCCGGATGTGCTGGTGCACTCAACCTTCCGGGACTACTACGTGGCCCTGGCCGTGTTCAATACCAGCCTGAGCACCGGCCTGTCCTGCTACTCCAGGTACCAGCTGGCTGGGGGCTGGGAGGGGGCAGTGGGATGCAGCCTCAGCTCTGGGACAGCAGGTGCCTGCACGGCCTCTCCAGGCCCTTTCTGGGGAGGCCGGGAGGAGCAAGCCCTGCCCTGTGACCCTTGGAGGTAGCAGGTGAAAGGACAGCCATTCAGCCATTCCCAGATGCCCCCAGAAGTCCCAGGAGGGACTGCCCCTTCCATGAGAGTGTAGCAGGCAGTGTCGCCTGGCTGGGGACACGGGGTACTACCTGTGGCCTCAGGTCTGAGCATGGAGGGAGATTGGACGCTTCAGCCACAGGGGAGAAAAGGAAGGAAAGGCCTTTGGGCTCAAATGAAGGGGGCCACTGGGGTCCAGGGATTGCTGAGGCGCAGGCACCCATGGGTCCCTGCGTAGACAGGAACTTCCTGGTCTCATCTCCGTGCCTGCGGGGCTGCCAGGGGCCGAGAAGGGCCAGTGACCCTCTGTGTTCTCGTCCCCAGGTTCTCAGGGTTTCCCTACTCTTCCGGCCCTCTGTCTCCCGTGTTGGGGACGACAGAGCCGCTGGCCCCGATGACTGCGGGGCAGGAGGGCAGAGGGCAGGACAGGCACGCGCGGCTTCCATGGACCTGCGCGGCTGTGACGCTTGGTCCGTGTGGTGCATCACTTGAGATGAGCACCAGGCAGCAGCCTCGTGCGCTGCGGCATTGGCGGGATGGGACGAGAAAAAGCGCGTCCTCTCCACGCAGTGGGGACCGAGCCCCGCGCCTGCCCGCGCTGCCCACTGCCCGCGTAGAGCTCCCGGAATCCCAGCTGCTGATCCCTCTAGCTGTGTCACAAATGTGTCTGATCATGCCTGTCTAAAGTGAAGCTTCTCCCCCAGTCTAGTGTTTCCCGCCACCCTCGTTCTGGACACAGGAGGTCTGGCTCCCTATACACCAGCCCTTGATCCCGGAACGCAGAGACTCTGGCGCTTTGGGGGCGTGGCGTGCTCTGGAGTTTGCTCCTGAAACCGCTGGCTGTGGCGACACCCTGTGGCCCGGTGTGGAATTGCACCTTGGGAATAAGAGCCGCTCTGGCTTCTTGCTCAGAGGCCTTTTCTCCTCTAGAAGAAAACTGGGTGTATCCCTGGAGCTGGGTGTGTCTTGGGATGCACAAGGCCTCTTCCCTCCCTGGAACAGGGGTCGCTGTCCCCAGGGCTGAGGGATGGGCCTCAGGCAGCTTTGGGCAGGGTGTGGGGAGCCTGAGCTTCCAGCCCCGCCTCTGCCCTTAGGGAGAGGGCTCTGTAACTGATGTGGTCCCTGATCTCCTGTGCTGGGGACACAGCAGCAGCTACAGTGATGTCCTGGGTCACAAGCACCAGAGAGACCCAGCCAGGAGTACTAGGATCTCAGGGCCCAGTGGGAGCAGCAGATGGTACTGGAGAGAGGGTCAGCGTGGCCGGCTTGTGGGCTGGGGCAGAGGTCTCCCTCAGGTGGTGGCCAAGCACAGGACCAGGCAGAGCTGCTGGTGAGACTGTGGGGTCAGGGCCCTCGGTGGCTTCTGCCCACCAGCCCATGCTGGGCTGCAGCCCCGTGGGAGGACCCCGCCCCCACCCCACAGTGCATGGAGCCTTCCTGGCACCCAGGCTGCCGGCTGGTGTGGGATAAACATCCCAGGATCCCTGTGGGTGACCTGGGTCCCCCCGGGCACCAGCTGGGGCCTCTCTTGTTAGCTGCGGCTCAATCTGGCACTGTATGCTCCTGGGAGGTCTATGCCAGCCCTCACCCCCATCCCAGTGGCCACTGGACTCTGAGAAAGCCCCTTGCAGGATGAGTTCTCCACGGGAGGTGTCACTTCCACAGAGGGGGTGTCACTTCCCCAGCAGGGGCTGAGGAAGGAGTCACCAGCATCAGGTGACAGCCTGAGGCTTTCCCAGATGCATGTGTGCGTGACTTTCCGAGATTCTGTCTCCTTTTCCTCACTGCCCTCCCTGATTTAGGTTCCTCGAAGCCCAGAAGCCTGGGCTTTCCAAGCTGCTGCGCGTCCTGGCCTTCGCGTACCCCTATGTGTGGGACTCCCTCCCCATTTTCTACAGGGTAAGCACAGCTGTGTCTCCTCCACTGTCCTCGGCAGAGGGTGTCCAGGGACGCCCCAGCTGCTGGGGGTCAGGAGACCCCCCTGGGCACTGCAGGACCAGCAGATGTGGGAGTCAGGTGGAGCAGGCAGTCTGGGGGTTAGTGAGGAGAGCAGAGAGGGGGTCTGGAGGTGAATCTCTGATACTTGCTGCCAGCCCTGGGCAAAATCTCTGTGCCTGCTTTCTCCCATCTGTGAAAGTGAGGACACCACTTCCAGGCTGTGCAAAAGGTTCTGAGACTGCTAGCACAGTGAGTGCCAGCTGGGGTGAGAGCCCAACCCGTGCCTTATCTTAGGATATCATCAGTTAGTGTGTGATTGCAATTGAAGAAAAGGTATGAATAAGGATCTTAGAGGACAAAGAGAGCCAGCGTAGTGGTGCACACCTCTCATCCCACACGTGGGAGGCTGAGGCAGGAGGATCTTTGTGAGTTTGAGACCAGCCTGGGCTACAAAGTGAGCTCAAGGCCAGCTTGAGCTACATGTGAGACCCTGTTTCTAAAACAAACAAATAAAAATAAAACAAAGACCATGAGTTCAGGTGTAAATAGACAACTTTCTACTCCAGAGTAGCAAAATTATCCAGCAGGATTTTTCTTTTCCTCTCCTCCTCTCCCTCCTTTTCTTCTCTTCCCCTCCCCTCTTCCTCTTTTTCTTTTATAATTGAATAGACCAAGGCTGGGGAGCATGTGGGGGAATGGAGCTGGCTTGGGCCTCTCCTGACCCACTTGGGGCAGGCGTCCTGCTGCCCTGGGCTGCCTGTCCTCCGGGGCCTGGTCTGAGCCGTGCAGGCCTCCTGCAGGTTCCCCAAGGCCTGGCCTCCCCTCAAGGCCCGCTGTTTCCCTAAACCCCTGCAGCTCTTCCTGTTCCCGGGAGTCAGCGCACAGAACGAAGCCGTCCTGTACCACTGGAAGCACACGGCCATGACCCTGCTGGCCTCCTTCCTGTACTCTGCACACCTGCCCGAGCGCCTGGCCCCTGGCCGCTTCGACTTCATCGGTGAGTGGGTGGGGTCTCCTGGCTGGGGAGAGGCCACCCTGACCCTGTGGCTGCAGAGGGCTGGGGGACAGGAACCTGTAGGGGCGGGGACAGAAGCCACTCTGGATGTCACTGCCTAGGCCCAATGCTCCTGCCTACCATACTTGGATAAGGTAGAGAGAGGGCTGCACACCAAGTTGGGGACCATAGGGAAAAATACCCCGGGCACCCAGTGTCAGCACTCTGGCTCTGCAAATACTCCGTCTGCTCCCCTTTGTCCTGTACTCTTGGGAGTTAGGGGGCAGCGCCAGGTGACCCGTGATGACAGATGTAACCAGATGTTCGGGAAGGTCACACAGACTTGGGGGCATACCCAAGGCCAGGGTGGCATCACAGGCCTCCCTTCTTCCTGGGGACACGATGGATTTGGCAGTTCTCCTGCCTCAGCTTCCCGAGTGCTGGGAATTTTGTCGAAATCCACAGCCTGTGGCTGGGTGTTGTGCCCTACCATGTCTGTCCTCTTGGAGCTCGTTGGAGCTATAAAGTACTTGTGCAGTGCAAGCCGAGTAAGTACTTTATAGGAGGCGGGAGGGCGAATTCCCGTTGGTTCCATCCTCTGTCACTTTTGTAACCCGAATGGAGGAACCCATCAGGCATCCCCTCTGGAGCCTCCATCCTCCTGGAGGCCTCTGCTTTATCTTGGGGGCCTGGCTGTTCTGGCTGGGGGCTCTGAGGCATCTCCGAGGATAGCTCCTGGTCACCCACCACACAGAGCTTTCGTTTTTGTCTCACTAAAAGGCAATCCATTCTTTTGTTCTGTTTTTCTTTTTTTTTCCTCTTTGTTTTGTTTTGTTGTACTCACAGTTTTTTTGAGACCAGGTCTTACTATGTAGCCCAGACCGGTTTCAAACTCACTGCGCTATTCCTGCCTCAGTCTCCTGAGGGCTGAGACTACAGGTGTGCGACACCACGCGTGGCTCACACTGCTTCTTACAGATATTTATGTTTTAAAAGCTAGATTTATTAAGGTGTGTTCTCCGGATGAAATAATCTCCCAATGTCACGCAGACAACTCAGTGATATTTTCGTGTACCCACTTAGACAGTGGTCAGAGCTGATCCACTTTAGAAGACCTCAGTCGCCCCAGCACCACCCCGGGTGCCCCAGGGCCGAGTCCCCGTCTCTGCCCTGGCCTCGGGCTACCGCTGCAAAGGTCCTGTCTCCTCTGAGTGACATCTGCCAGGTAGCCTCAGCATCCGCCAGGGTCCCACCTTCAGCGGAGGCTGCCCCACTGTGAGCCCCTCTTGTGTGTCTGCCGCAGGTCACAGCCACCAGCTGTTCCACGTGTGTGTGATCCTGGCCACGCACATGCAGACGGAGGCCATCCTGCTGGACAAGGCCCTGAGGAAGGAGTGGCTCCTGGCCACCTCTCAGCCCCTGTCCCTCGCGCAGATTGCCACCGCCCTGCTGCTGTGTCTCCTCTTCAGCCTCGGCAACATCATGTATTTCTCCGCGGCTCTGTATCGGACTCCGGAACCAGAGTTACAGAGAAAGGAGACATGAACCTTGCAGGCCGGACGCTCCCTGTGCCTAGTGTCACTGCTAGGCAGTGACTCCCACATGCTGTAAGGTGGCGGCATAGTGCTGACTTAAAGGCCGAAAGGGCCCCAAGGACTTCAGAGTGCCTTTGGCTGGGCTCACGTCGAAGGGTATTACTGGGAATATTTCTCTAAATGGGTATTGATTCTAGATGTGTGATTTTAAAATGGGCTCAAGTAAGTTTTTCTTTTCTCTCCTTAATATGGTACTGAGAATTGAACTCTGGGCCTTGACACTGCTATATATATCCTGGCAGCCTTGAAATGTTTTTACTTTGAGACAGGAGCTTGCTAAATTGCCCTGGCTGGGTTCAAACTAGCAATCTTCCTGCCTCAGCCTCCCAGAATGCTGCATGCACTAACACCCCCGGCTGATCTCCCTGGCTCAGTACTGGGGATCGAACTCAGGACCTTGCACTTGCCAGGCAGGTGCTTATGCCACTGAGCTATCTCCCCGGCCAATTGTCTTACTCTTTAAAAACTGAAGCTCATTGGGTGAGTTTCATGTAATGAAAGAAGCTTTTTCTGAGGCTCCCAGAGTGACCTGGCAGCTCCTCTGGGAAAACCAGCAGGAAGGGTCCCAAAGAGGACATGGGAAAGAGGAGGGGATGTGAGTGGGACCCTTGGGGACTGGGGAGGATTCAGGAGTTCACAGAAACCAGCTTGGTGAGGGAGGGAGCCAGAAGGGAAGCCTTCCACAGGTCTACTCTGCCTCCAAAGTACAAGTTTCTATACCATAATAGATTTGGCGATTCTCCTGCCTCAGCTTCCCGAGTACTGGGAATTTGTTGAAACCCGCAGCCTGTGGCTAGGAGTTGTGTCCCATCATGCCTGATCCTCATGGTGCCCTTGGAGCTATAAAGTATTATGCAGTGTGAGCTGAATGTGTTACACTGTGGAGGCGGGAGGGTGAATTCCCAGTGGTTCCATCCCTTGTCACTTTTGTAACCCAAATGGACTGTGTTTGGAGAGGCAACACGTTTGCTAGCCCATCCTTCAGGCCTTCCCAATGTGCTGCTGCACCTAGTATTCCTGTGTGGAGGATGTTAGAGACCTTGCCAGTAGTGGGATAACCACATGTCACCTCCTCAGGCTTTACTGTGAATCAGAAAAACTGGGTAAAGCTGGCAACAAATGCAGATTCCCAGGTCCCAGGTGCCCTGGGGGATGCTGCTTCCCTGGGTTAGACGTGTAGCTCCTCCATCCCAGAGCAGGTCCCCCGGAGTATTCCACTTGTGTGTTGCACATTCCTACCAGCTTTGCTTTCTCCCCCACTTTCTTTCTCCATAACAATGGAGTCTCCTGAGTCAAACCTTGTGAAAAAGAAGGAATAAATAAAGCTGGGGGTTATGGAGGAGGCGTCTCATGTATGTGTGTGTGATACCGACAACTATCACAAAACACTGCCAGCAACCACAGCTTGGGACAGACAAATTCTTCTGCAGGGACAGCTGAGCAGAGTGGCCCAGCCAGCCTCCCGGGGATGCTGGACGCCGTCGCTACAGTGGATCCCTGTCACCCAAGGGTCATCCTCCTCTGGCCTTTGAGGTGTGCCCTGGCCTGGACCTCTTTGATCGTGCATCTAAGGGGCCACACGCACCAAAATCCCCTTAGTCATATGGCTCCCAAAGAAATCCACTGTCTTTGGAGAATCTGATGTTGAAGTTGACAGTTCCGCAACACACTCCTTTCTCACGGGCTGCATTGCTAATTAAAGCTCGGCGCTCGGTGGTGGTTTCCGCACTCATACAGGACAGTGTGCACGCCTCTGCACTTGCATCCCTCCAGCTCCTGAGCTGCGCTTCATGGTGCTGGACCCTCTTCACTGGCTTGGAGAGATCCCCTGGGGTCAGCTGCCTGCTGCACCCATAGGCCGCCCTGGGATAGGTTAACTCCTCTAAAGACAACTAACAGTTCATGGTGGCGGATAGTGGCCCATAAATATACTTTTTTTTTT